AAAAAAAAAAAAAAAAAACCCCAAAGGAAGAGACTTAGAAGGGGCAGAGGCTAGTGGTTGGAGAAAGTAAATGCTAATCTTTCCAAAGGAAAAAAAATGACTATTTATAGGGGAAGGGTTAGGACCATAGAAACATCGCAATCTCATCCTTCTTCTTTAGGGCTCATATGCTAACATTGCCTCCCTTCATCCCCTTCTGTTTTCTCAATTAGCAATTCAATTATATATTAGGAGTTAACACAAAAATAGAAAAAACCCTAGCAGGTAGGTTTTTACAAATTAAGAAAGAATAATTATTACTTAATGGATTCCCTTAATCACCATTCATCTCTTAGATTTGTTGTTAATTAATTACTACTACCACTATTTTTTTTTTTGTTTTACATTTTATGAAGGAATAATAAAAAGTAAAATGATATTGGATTATATAAAACTGGGTAAATCTGCTTATAGATTGAGACGACATGTATACAAAGTGTAGTACGTTTTCTGAACCCTAAAATTTCATCTTACTGCCTTCTAACTATTAGCTCCTTGTGTATTTCATAAGGTTTCCACTACTTCTTCCATAACCTATGTCTGCAGATTCAGGATCATGGTACATGGTGATAATGAACACATGCACAATTACGAGCAACGACCATTACTCGAGATTTAAAGTTTGAAGAATATAAGAATAACAGTAAAGAATTACTTCACCATTTTTCTTAAATGGAGCTTCCTGCTTCTACCTATATCAGCCGCACAATACTCTGACCAGGATATCCTTTAATTTTTTTTTTTTTTCATATAAGGAAAAAACGACAAGCCGAAACTTAAGAATTTGCATACATTCCCTAGGAAAGAGCAGCTAAAAGTGATAAACCATGGTCCCCTGGCGATGGCAGCATGGCCCATGACATGAATGTAAACCGAGTGTCATCTGCCATAGAATAGGTGTATGTTCCCTATTTCAGGTTTGCCAGTTAAGATGAAGACAGACGAGCTGGCCAGGCCACAACATCTAGTCTTTCCTTCGGCCAGGGGTTTGGACCTACTAGTGGATCTGTCGGTTCCAACACATTTGGGCCAAATAAACCACCACCTTCGAGCTTATCAACAAACTCGGGCCTTGCTGATAATGCACTGTTGCCTACATAATGATCGTAATAATCTAAAGTTTATGATTATAAAGCTTTTATTATTATTATTATTATTATAAAGCATTTTTACTTACCGTTCCTTGCTACCCTTGCAGGTTTCATTAGTATGTTACACCTTTTCTTATTTACTTTCTGCAATTTAGATTCTTTTTAATTGATATTTTACACCTTGCGGGGCTCCGTCCTGCCTAGTTCCTCCCCTACAAACTAGTAGCTCTAGCAATGGGGGCTTCCTCGGCCTGCAAATGGTACGTGATCATAGCAGGACTGAGATATTGCTTTCAGATCAATGTGGGAGATCCTTGCCACCCAGATCCAAATCTGATGGCTGTTTCATTTGTGCAATTGTCTTGCAAGTTGTATAGATACCTAATGTTCCGGTGTTGTTGCATTCAACGGTAACAAGGACAGAAGCAAAACGAGAGGGCCAAGATAAAGGATTTGGGTAACGGATCGCAACCCTCACAGAAGAGAAAGAGCATAGAAACCCAGAACTCTACTCCAGTCCACCATACTACATATATAATAAGCAAATCCAACAAACTTGCCAGAAACTAGCCAGACCAACTGACCAAGAGACTAGAGGTATTGTTTAAGTGTGAATATTTATCTCATTACACACAATTTGAAATAAAGACGGAGAGAAAGAAAGGAAATTGCAGAAGATGTTAGAAAAGAAATAGTTACATTATCTCACAATAACCTTTAGTAACAATCGTTTCCACTTGAAAAAGTACTAGCATAAACGATCACATGTATAAGGTAAAACCATTTAACAAGCTGATAACTTACTGACAACTCACAAATATCCACCAAGAATTGATCAATTTAAGAAACAAAGGAATAACACAGTGACTCCAAACAAATGCAATATATGCTACCTCAACTATCACAAATCTGGCTCAAGATATTTTATCTACATCAATTTTGTGGTGCAAAGCACGTTTTGGGTCATTTTGTAGAGTTTGACCGGATCACATCATGAGCTACAGGGCTGCAGTGCTCCTTGAAGATTTTTAACAGCACTGTCATAGTGTACAAAGCCCATGAACCAGAACTCATGGTTGTCAACTGATATAATTTGGATGTATTTCTCAGCTGTGTTGGCTTTGCTAACTGATGGATTCACTGCCCTGAGCTGATGTAATGGAAGTACCACCTACAAATAGAGTGGCGAGAGGACATAAAAATCACATTCACAACCATTAGAACAAGTTTAAATAAAGATAAATGATTGATGATAGACACGTACACTTATACAAATAAGCACAGGTCTGTGTATCAAGAATATAGCCAGCAGACTTTGACAAATCACTAATACATAAACCCCAACAAATCCAACAAAAAAAATCACTATATCCTAAATTTTTAATTGGTAACTTTCTAGAGCATTTGACAACGATGCAATCAAGCAAAACAATTATCCTACGAACATGTGGCTCATGAACACATATAGCAAAATCATTTGAATTTTTAGATCTCATTTGAATTGCCTTAGGTCAACTATTACAGGACGGCTTTTGACTGGGTTCTTCAGAATCATAGAGCAATTAAATTTAGCAAAGTTGAGGATGTCATGATCTATGTACAGATCTCCAGATCAATCTCAAAAAAAATATTCTACCTTTACAATGCATTAAGGTCCTTACCACCAACAATTTTCATTACCAACTCCTTTTAAATAAATTCAATTAAACATAGCATCCACTACAAAAGTGTAAACCAAAAACTAGCACTACAGGTATCAAAGAATGCCAATAGAAAAAGTCTAACAAGGTGATGAAGACGTTAAACAAGGGACCACAGAATTTCAGCAAATAACTGGGATAAGTAAGTCAACCACGGATGCAATAAGAATCTATGTTATTTAAAGTACAGCTTTTATGTTTGTCAACTTTAAGTGCTCCACTAATCCACATAGAACCATCAACTATTGAGCCTTCAATATTCTTTAAAACATGTAAATCAAGAAAGGGCCAGAACATTCATAATTTATGTCTTGCAACAATATAAGGAACTGCCAAAGAATAGAAACTCTAACAAAATATCCATTACAGCATAAAAAAACAGTATTAAGTTCATTGTAAATCATCACTCATCAGTCTGTGCTAAACTTGACCAACAACTTGAAACACAGCAAGACACAATATAAGCCAATATACCTTATAATAGCTCCATTGAGTCTGATCACCAACTTGGTAAGACAGAGGATTGTCACTACAAAAAGCAAGCTTTGCGGTTGACAGATATAGAACTCCCATGACAGGACCAGCTGAAGTGGACAGGTAGCATGCATACGTCTTCAGAAGCTGCTCCTCAGGAACATTCTCAAACGTTTGTCGAAAGATCTTCTCATAACCACCTTCTGCAAGAACTTTAGTACTCTGTGCAATTCTTCCTACAGCAGCATCAGCAAAACTCGGCCCCGTTTTCACTGTTCCAAAAGAAAAAGCAACAACAAAGTTACTTATAATATTTCATACTTTTCCATCAAATGGATACCATGTATTCAAAAATACCCTTAGAAAATGATATGTCAATTAAAATTCAAAATCAGTCATATGTAATACAGAAAAATAAAATAAGCAAACTTGGAAGAAAGAAATAATTACAGTGTTGCCACATGTTCCCAGCTATCTCTTTCGCCTTCTTAGAATCCTCCGCTGCCTTCTTTCCCCATTTCCCTAACACATCTTTCACTGAATCCATCTTATCTGCTCAGAAAAAAAAGGTGGGGGCTTCATTTTAAATACATAATTCGATGACTTCAAAATTTCAATTTACTATAAATTAAACCAACTGGAATCATTGGAAGTGGCTTACTCTTGACGGCTGATGATTGAACCGGAGAGGGAGAAACGTAAGGATTCGACTCAGCTGGCATGCTGGTGGCAGCGCTGCTAGAGATCGGCGCTGGGCCTGGATTGGGCTGCGATTGGGAACCCATGGAAACGTTGGTCCAACTCTCCGGTGGAGGCGTGACGTCCTTCGGGTCAAGTTTCGGGTACGGAGCGTAATCAGAAGAGTGGGCTGCCGGTTGGCTTGACTCCGAGGATGTTGTTGACTGTTTGGTTTCGGGGACCTTGTTACGATCGGGCGAAGGCTGGCTCATCATCTCTTAGTGTTTGGATCAGATAAAAGGAGAGGAAGAAACGGAAATTTTTAATTGGAGTTGGAAAGCTTCTGTGGGATGAGTCAAAACCGTGAAGGAATTTTCTAGAATTTATTCCTTGCGAGGTTTGAACTGCTGCCGTTAGTTTTCGTTTTTATGTCTTTTTAACTTTGAACTTGAAGCGACCACTTGGCAGTTCGCCACGCTACAATATGATATCCGGCCCCGACCGACATGGGCATTGGGTCTGGATTTTCCACTGCTCCTCTAGCCTTTAGGCCCACAGCAGGAGACCAAACATTGAATTGGACTAGGCTTTGAATCATATCTTACGTATGGGCCCAATAATTCTTCTAACAATCGATAATTCTAAGTAATCGATTCACGTAATAATATAACAAATAATCAAGTAATTAGTATATACATTAAGTACTTGAGGAATGAAATAATTTAATGAGGTGTTCATGCCGGGATAGCGGCAATGCCTATGTAATGAGCTATAGTAAGTACCAACTTTTCTTGTTTTGGTCGTCCACAAATGATCCTCAACAAAAAAGACAGGAGTCGAGTTCCTTCCTAATCAACTCCAAAAGGAGCTTCAGACGGACACCAATGTCTCTACTCGTTTAGGAATAATAATATTTGCAAGCGGTGGAAGATTCTCTCTCCGATTTCTTAACCCTTTTCTAATAGTTGGTGAGATTGATAAGCCCAACCGGCAACTAGTTACAAAACTTTGAATGGGTTTATGATTGGTCTAACCACGGCCAGTTATAATCAAGACTCTCTATCTCTCTCTCCCTCTTTGGGCCTTGTCCGTTGAAGTGGTATGGAAGTGAGTCTACCATTGTTAAAGGTTAGATCAGCTTCTGATTCCACTAAAAGATATAGTGTATAAGCTTTTCGTGTTAGACCAGGGAGATGAAATCATGGGTGCATTAATTATTTTAAGACAAACTTTATGAATAGATATTTTCAAACAGTGCTGCATTCAATCAAAACCAGAACTCAAGTTTAACCAAATTGTTTGCTTATCAACCTTTTTCTTGGGGGTGTTGACGCAAAAAGAATGATTGATATATCTAATGGTATTAATCAATCAGGCTCACATCGTAGGAGATACTCGAGAAATATCATCAGCAGTTCTTGAGGTTTCCATCCACTGCAAGCATGATATCATTGCAAAAAGAGTAGTGGAATTTAGAGAGAGAAGGGGGAGGGGGGGGTCGCGCTCTGGGCAATCTCAATGGAGTTTCCAATCACAATACAACAAGGAATTAGGGAAAGGAGCAATCTGAAGTTACGGAAATAGCCAAAATTCTATAGTGATGAACTGATAATTTCACCTGCTAGCCAACCTGAATGATGTGCATACAGCTAGCCCCACTTCTGGTTTAGTGACCAATAATTGATCAAGAGTTAGCTGGGGCAATACTTACTGTGGTACTATATTATTAGCAGGAAAGAGATTACGCTTTCAAGTTTCGACTTACGACATCCACACAATTAAATATAATAACCAAGTGAAGGGAGTTTTCTCCAGAAACTTTACTGATTTTTGGAACTTAAGACAGCAATTGTCTCATGGAGCATAGACCCTGTCTTTCACCAGCACAGCTAAAAAGGCTATTTCCCAAAAGGAACACTTTAAGCAAATGCTTTTTCTTTTCCTTTCTTTTCTTTCTTTCTCTCATTTCCTCTAAAATCCTAGTAGCTTAGTGGATATCAGGCCATAAAGAGAATGCTCTTTTCTACCCTATTGGAATCAATCTTAAAGAAACCTTCAGAAATGTGTGGACAAATGTCATTCGAAAAGCAAGCCTTTCATGTTTCCAAATTCCTGTTTGGAATGTATTGTCAAGATCTTGGTCCAATTGGGGTTTTTCAACATTGTTTAGTGTTCATATTAACATGAAGAAGGGTACCGGAAGGTCCCCGTGAGGGAAATTGATGGTGAAAAGTCATGAAAAGTCGTGAATTCCATGGGATTGGGGGGGTGAAGGGGGGCGAGGGCGGGGGGGGAATGGTTGATTTTCCGATGTCGTGAATAGACACTTCATCTTGTTGTCTCAACATATTTTGCCGACCCGTAGCCTAACAGTCAGTGTCCAAGTCTCTTAACCAATGTAGCCTGCTGATTCTAATAAAAAACCCTCCCCAAAGATATTATGCAAACATGCCATCCTCTTGCTTCTGCTTCAAACACCTGACGATATTGAAACAAACAAAAGAAACAAGATCACAATCAAGATTTTCTCATGGTCCATCAATGGCCACCACCACCCCCACCCCCCACAAAAAAAAATGGTTGGCTTAAGTTTGAGTACCCCATAATATCCTCAAATTCATCATCTGATTATTATCCTGTTCCTTCCCTTTGAACGGAATTTATGCTCACGTAAATTGACGCTAACTAGAGAATCTAAATCAATGGCAGGTATAATATATGCCATAGTACTTGAACATATATGATCTCTTCTCATTAATTCGAAGAAAAATAAAATTTTTAAAAAAAACCAACCCCTTCAAAATGATTGGAATTTCGATTCCCAACTTGTTACATATTTTCTTTTTCTTAATCATGAAATTAGAAAGATTAATTGTTTGAAAATTTGATTAATAAACAAGAATAAGGAATATGAAGAACACTGATAATAACATGATTTGTACTTTGGATAAATGGAAAGATTCCAAATATTTTAATGCATTTACTTACACATTAAGTGGAAACCCAACTTTTAATCTTTTAAGTCAACTATGTTCTCCTATGGGGACCAAGGTCCTTAAGATCTTTACTGCATACGTCTTGATGCATGCAAGGAAGAAAGAGAAACAAAGTACCCACTTTTATTCCATGCTATCTGCTTTCCTTCTGGTGAAATATTGTTTGGTTACAGAGAAAAAAAAAAAACATGATTAAAATTACAGGTACTAGAAATCAAGGAAGGATTCCCCAAATTTGAAAAGAGGCCATGAGAATCATCAATCTTTTCTTGTTTCCTCCCCCCATTCGTTTTTGTCATCTGGTCACATTGATTATTAATATATTTTCTGGCAAGCAAAAAAAAAAGAGAAAGTAATAATAATAAAATCTTCCCTCCATTAGCCTTTGATGAAATCCAGTCCTGAAAACCTGAGCTAAACATTTTCAAAGGGTCATTCAATGAAATTGGAGCACTATTGCCTGTTAAAACCAATTGATTCCTCAGATATCTTTAGGGCAGATCTTGAGCAGAAAGAGAATATGCAATATGACATATGTCAAAATCAAAGCTTAAAGAGATCTAGGACATGTTTGGTTTTATCATATTCATCCATTGTTTTCTGTCTTTTGTTTTTCTTTTTTGTAGGGCATAGCTCTCTGTCATTTCAAACAAAAAAGAAAAGAAAGGGAAAACAACTGAACCATGATTAAATGGTTTTATAAGTAATGGGAAGATTATTTCCAAATGCTTAACAAGTAATATTTTTTTTAATTAAAAAAATTTTAAACTTTACTCTTTAAACAAAAAAATTCAAATTTTCTCATTGTAAATTTGCGGCTAATACCACATGGGGCTTTCCAAAGTGGCTTTGTAAACATTTGGCAAACTGAAAGGTTAAGAGTTCAAATTTCCAACATTATGTCACAGATTCGTTGCATCTTTTGGAAGAACCATCATTAATCCAGAGTTCCGACCCAACACAACACGAAACAGCCTAATCATTTTAGGATTCTTCAATTTTTTTTATCTTATATCTTAAAATCTATTTACGATATCTAGCATTGAATTTTTTGAGTTGTGAAATGTGCATCAGTTTCCTTAAGTAATTCGATTCTTTTTTACCACTTAAACTAAATCCCGTTTCATTTAATTTTGAATTCGAACTTTGATAAAGCTTTTTATGACTTTCATTTTAAAGAAGAAGAAGAGAATTTGCACTATTAAATAATCAATAAACTTTGATTTGATCTTCATTTTCGTTTGGATTAGTCAAGTGTGAGGCTTGCCCATATTTTTTAAAATTACTTTAATTCATTTTTTATTATTTAAGTGTCGTATGTCTAAATTTATATAATAATCTTAAAAGAGAAGTCTCGTTTGTCTTTTATCAATCAAAATCTTATCCTTATGAAGATTACTTTCGAGATTAAAAATCTTGAATATACCAAGTTGACATGAAAAAAAATATGTCTTTGAAATCGTTCAAGAAAAGAATTAAATTCAAGTGAAACTTAAAATATTTTTAATTATGTTTTCAAAAAAATATTTTTTTTAAATTATCACATATAAAGAATTTAAGATGATTAGCGGAAACGTAAATGTCAAAATTTAATAACAAATATGTGAAAACACTACTAATGCTATTTGCACAAAAATTTATTGAATAAATTCAATGACGGGTCTATCATTTTGTGCATGGAACCTATTTATTAACAATTGTTTAAACTTAAATCAATAATTATTTAAATAATTAAGATTAAAGTGTTAGGTGAATATTATTTGTGGCCAAAAAGCTAAGAGTCAGTTCACGAACCAAAAAAGGGAAGAATGTTGCAACACTTTATAGTCAGATTACGATGTCAATTTTAACCAAAAACAACTACAGTAAAAAAACCCTTTATTCTTTTATCTAAATTTACATAACAAGTAAAAAACAATTTAAAAAGTTTGATCATGATTAAAAATTACCTAACATAACAAGTGAAAAAGGATAGAAGGAAAAGGGCAATGGGCAAAGGATTAGATCCAAAGTGTAAGAGGGACAAATGATGCTAACCTCAGCAAACACCAAAAAGAAAGAGAAGTGTTAGTTTTAATTGCATCCACTCCCTTTTTTATTTTCCCTTTTTATTTATTTCTTGATTAGGGTTATTGTACTTATTAGGATCATTGAGTTCTTTATATTTATTTTGATTTTTTATTTAAAAAAAAAATATGCTTCTTCGCTACACAACAAGAAAGGGGAAGAGAAAAAGGGGAAGACTGCGGGGAAGGGGGATTGCCGCCAAGTGAATGGGACGCGGTTTGGGAGCGCGTGGAGAGTTAAAAAATGACTCTGCCACGTAGACTTTGTCAGCCTTTGCCTCCAGCAGTACCCCTTGAAGCTTCGGTAACTAACAACTGTTTACTGCTTCGCGATTGGACAGTGCTTTTTTTTCTTTTACTTCCGTTTGAAAAGCGTAGAGAGATAATTTAAAAAATGGATATTTAGAAATCGGTCCTTCATTTTCTAGTATATTTACAAAATAACCCATTTGTTTTGTTAACTCACGTTTTCATCTTATTCGCAAGGAAGGAAAAAAAAAAAAACCAAGTCTTTGATATGTTATATTAAACAATTTATTATGCTTAAATAGGTAGAGTTTGATCAATAAAAAAAATATGAGAAGCAAAATTATTTAAAAAAATAACTATATTTTCTCATCATGCATGAATTAAGTTGTCATGGTTGTTCAACAAATAATATTACGATTTAATTTTAGCTGACAATGTATAAATGAAATACATTTTCATCTTGCTTATAAGCATTTTATTTCTTTAATAATTCATTATTTAGAGAATTAAAATCGTTTTATGTAGGATATATGAGATTCATACTTGAAATCGTATGGTAAAAAAAGAAATAGCGATTAAAAAAAAAAGAAAAACAGTACAATGATTTCAAGCTTCTTAAAATGAAAATCTTTTTAGTATAATACAAGCAATGCATGTAATATATAAAGATGAATCAATCATTTTTATCTTCCTTTGGCCGACTCATCATTCACACACTACTAAAATAGACTTGTGATCTCAATTTGAAATACAATTGGCCAAATTCAGAAAGAAAAAGAAAGAGGAGGAGTTATGTACAAATAAAGAAACGACCAAGGGTGTTATCCAACATAAAATCCAAACAAATTTTACAGCAGTTGACAAAAGAAAAAACTATAGTACTTCCTGTCAAAACCAACAACTTTTTTAAAAAAATTAAAGAATAAAAAGACAAAAGCTTGTAAAAAGAAAAAAACCCCAAATAATGGAGGAGAAGTGTGGAGAGCCATTGGATATGAGATGAAAGAGAGAGAGAGAGAGAGAGGGAGAGGGGGAAGAGGCATGGAGAATCCCAATGCTCAGAACAAAGAGAGAGAAGAAAGAAAGAGAGAAGACACAGACAGCACTGTCCACTGTTCACTCCCTCTTCTCTTTCTCTCTCTGACCAATTAAACTAAATTACTTATCTTTGCGCTCTCTCTCTCTCTCTCTCTCTGTCTATATCCCCCATCCTTCTCTCTCCTCCCAGTTTCAACACCCCCCTCCCGGCCCCAACTCTCCTCCCTGTGCTCTCCACCCAAACCCTCCTCTCCCCAAGAAAAAAGAAACTTAAAATCTATCATCTTATTCACTCATTTCCCTTACATTTAATCCATGTTCCCATGATCTGAAGAAACCCAAGTCTCAATCTCATCAATCAAGGCAACCCCAACGAAAGAAAGAAAGGGAAGATCGCTTTAGATCACAGGGCCGCGCGTGTGCTACGAACTCGCCTTCTTTCTCTTCCTTTTGTTGTCTCTCATGCGACATAACAGGGCGGAGCGAATGTCTGAGGACGACGAAAGGCAGCAATCTTCACCGTCAGATCTTGACTTTACTTCTAACAAGGCCCGGAACTGCAACGCCACCGGGTCCGGGTCGGGTCACCCGGAGTTTCAGTCTCCCTACCCGGACCAGGTCCTGGAGAACGTGTTGGAAAACGTGCTTCACTTCCTGACTTCGAGCCGCGACCGAAACGCCGCCTCATTGGTGTGCAGGTCGTGGTACCGGGTCGAGGCGCTGACGCGATCCGAGCTGTTCATCGGAAACTGCTACGCGGTGTCGCCGGATCGGGCCACGGCCAGGTTTACCAGGGTGAGGGCGCTTCACCTGAAAGGGAAGCCCAGGTTCGCGGATTTTAACCTGATGCCGCCCGATTGGGGGGCCCACTTCAATCCTTGGGTGCTGGCTCTGGCCAAGGCGTACCCTTGGCTGGAAAAAGTTTACCTGAAGCGCATGTCCGTGACCGATGATGATCTGGCAACGCTGGCCGAGTCGTTTTCAGGGTTTAAGGAGCTCGTTCTCGTTTGCTGTGATGGGTTTGGAACTAGTGGCCTTGCTATTTTTGTTTGCAAGTGCAGGTATTTTCTTTTTGTTCTATTTTTAATTTTTTTGCTGATAATAATGCTATGTATTTATAAAAAACTGGCTGATTAGATCTGTTTAAGGTCTTAAGAGTAATTGTTATTGGTTTATTTGGTATAGGGTTAAGGAAAGTTTGTAGCTTTAATGAGATTTTTGTTTGATCTCATTGTTGTGTTTGTGGATTGAATTTTTTAGATCTTTTATGTTTCTTCTTTGATCTGGGTATGGATTGGGAAATGAAAACGTTTGAGTTTTAAGTAATGTGTTCTGATAACCAATGGGATAAAAGGGAAAAAGGAAGTTGGGGATAGAATTGTGTATGGATAGTTGATTGATGTATTTCTATAATTGCAGACAGCTTAGGGTGCTTGATCTGATCGAATCTGAGGTTACAGATGATGAGACAGATTGGATATCCTGTTTTCCTGAGGGTGAATCACATCTTGAGTCGTTGATATTTGATTGTGTAGAATGCCCGATAAATTTTGAGGCATTGGAAAGGCTGGTGGCTAGGTCTACTTCACTTAAGAAGCTTAGGCTAAATCGATATGTTTCTATCGGGCAGCTATATCGCCTGATGATTCGAGCTCCTCAGCTCACACACCTTGGGACAGGTTCGTTTAGCCCATTGGAGGTAGCAGGACATGGTGATCAAGAACCAGATTATGTAACTGCTTTTGCTGCCTGCAGATCCTTAGTTTGTCTCTCTGGGTTTAGGGAAATAATTCCAGATTATCTGCCTGCGATTTACCCTGTTTGTGCAAATCTAACATCTCTGAATTTCAGCTATGCCAACATCAATGCAGAACAGCTTAAGCCAATTATAAGCAACTGCCACAAGCTCCAGGTTTTCTGGGTATGTATTCTAAATTTGGTCTTTAAGCTTTGTGAAGAAATTAGAGCTTTGAAGCTTACGTTAGCTTTCATGTGCAGGTCCTTGATTCAATATGTGATGAAGGACTTCAAGCAGTGGCTGCGACATGCAAGGAACTACGTGAGCTTCGGGTTTTCCCCATCGATGCTCGGGAGGATAGTGACGGCCC